TCACTACATAAACCAGGCTGGCCTTGAACTCACTGAGATCCACCTGCCTCTGCCTTTGGAGTGCTGGGATTAAAGCCATGTGCCACCACCCCTGGCATTCTTCACCTTAGTTTTTGAGTCAGGGGTATCTCACTGAACCTGGAACTCATCAATTCAGTGGCCAGTGGGCTCTAGGGATCCCAAACTGCCTCCCAGGACTCGAGTTACAGATGTACACCACCATGCCTGACTTTTCACCTGGGTTTTGAGGATCTGAACTCAGGTCTTCATGCTTGTGCAGAAAGCTCTTTATCCACTGGGCCATCTTCCTAGCCCTGGGCTTATTTCTAAAAGCACTGGACGGTAAGCCAGGTGCATGGAAGAGATGGAGCTCTGCCTGACACGTAAGAAAACTGCTTGTCTGCTGAGGACCGCTGGTGACTTCTGAGCATAAAACCCAAGAGCACCAGCCCCTGTGCCTTGCTTTCACCCACGCACTACCAACCCACCCTAACTCTCTCAACTGCCCCAGTGGCACTGGACTCCTCCAACCCACCAGGGAAGCTCCCACCTTAAGGTCTAGATCCTCTGCTAAAGGCAAATGTCTCGGCAAATCTCTCCAGTGTGTGTAACTCTTAGACCTAAGGATTCTGGTCTCCAAATTCTATAAACAGCATGCACCTACCAGGAATCTCAAGCCCACAACAGTACCCACAGGGCACCACGCTGCTGTGGCCTCTCTCCCCATGCCCTCTACAAGGGAATGTCTTTCTTCTAACATTTGGGGCTAACAGGCCTAATGTGAGTCTCCTCCTGTGCCTCCTTGACAAGAAGCAGGTCATTTGGACATGAGAGGGAGCAGCCCTAGAACAGGGAACTTTCAACATTGATGCCACTAGTCTGCTACCAGCAACTTTAATCTCCATGTCCAGAGGGGAAACTAGTAGGGGACCCAGGAGGTGACTGTCATCAGCAGCCCCTTCTTTCTTTCTGGAGATCTGGAGTTGCTCACAAATGAAATGGATTAAAAACTCCCATCCCGGAGGCAGCCAATGAAACAAGACTCCCACGGAGGCTGCCAGGTAGTGGGAAACACTCCGAAGAGAAATAAAATAGGGAGGAGGAGAGGGGGCCAGAAATGGGTAAGAGACAGTGATGTTGGAGCAAGCTTTAAAAACTGAAGGGGCAGGGACTGGCGAGATGGCTCAGTGGATAAGGGTGCTTGCTGCCAGGTCTGACAACCTGAGTTCAAGCCTCAGGACCCACATGGTGGAAGGAGAGAACTGTCTCCTGCAAGAGTTGTCCTTTGCTCCCCACACACATGCATGCATGCATGCATAAATAAGTTAATTAAAAAACAAATGAGGGGTAAAGCAAGAGGCCATGTGGGGAGGAGCTGCTCGACAGTCGGCCACAAAGGGATTTCTTAGGTTGACACACATGTCGAGGCTGTGGAGTCCCAGCATGCTAGGCAGGCCGATACCCTGGGAACTCCTCAGTCTGGAAGGCTGGGAGATTCTTAGACTTTGCTGGTCTTCAGTCCACAACGGGAGGCCAAAGAAGCTGGCTACTGCGGCAGTGGCGGTGGCAGAGCCGATGCCTTCACCAGCAAAGAGCAAAATGGACAGGCAAAGACTTCCTTAGGCCTGGGCCACTGCTGGGAAGTGCTGTCCGTTGGCAGTGAGGGGTGTTGGTCACCCCACCTCAGTCAGTCCTTCTGGGAGATACCCTCACAGATCCACCCAGGGGAGTGTCTCAGCTGATTCCAGATCCAATCAACCTGACAACCAAGAGTAACTATCACCACTCCAAGCAAAGGCAGGGGCGGCACTCAGCAGTGTTCACAGAACGAAGGTGCTTCTGGCTTCCTTCTGACAGCCTTGGGTTCTTTCTTTAGTAAAGTAACCTAGTCAATCAATGCCTCCTTTTCCCACTGAAGCCTGGTTCTCCCATGGTGCACCTGGATGAGTTCATGAAACCCAGCGGCTTGGGGCTTCAGTACCTTTTAATTGTCATGCGTAGCATCCCTGCCGCTGACCTGGAGCGATGTGTGAATCGGGGTCTCACAGGGGTAGCAAGAGAGGCCAGTGAGAATCTCCCTCTGAGGGAATTACCTGGCTGTGGTGTCTTCTCACAAGTGGGGGGGGGGGCAGAAGTGCAGAGACACACTCAGAATCACACACCACGTGGGGGGAATCTTTAACTTCAAGTCACTCCTGTACTCGCAGCTCCCACCACCTCACTGCCCCATGTAGATCAGGGACTTGCAGAACCTGAGTGCTTCGCCCAGGACAGCCTGGTCCACAGCACCACCCGGTGGTCGCAGTTCCACGTGGTTCTTGGAGGGAATAGGGTGCCTGGAAGGGGGGTGGGGCAGTAATTGTAGGCTCCTGATTGCATTCCTCAGGAATACTTCCTCTCTGCAGTTGACAAGGGTCTTTTGTGCTCTGGCTCCAACTGGAAGAAGACAAAGGAGAGAAGGAAAGAAAAAAAGACAGAAGAACAAAATCAAGCTCATAAACACCATATGACAAAGAGAAATAGAAAAGGCTAAGAAATGGAAAGGGAAGCATCAGAAACACAGTCACGAAGACACCTAAAGAAAAATAACCTAGAGGAACAAGGGAAAAATGTTTATATGGAGTTCAACCTAGAGGCTGGTCTCATCCCTGGAGACAGGCGCTGTCCCCAGCGGGCACCTGGGGGTCGGGTCTGGCTCTGGGTCTGAAGCCCCCAGGAAGGACCCGATATGACTGGAGCCCAGGCAGCCACAAAGTCTGAGCATTTCACGGTCCCTGGTGCCCCCTGCTGGACAGGCTGGGTTCTACAGGCCCCAGAAAGCTTGAGGGTCAGTCCCCTCAGTGGTTCCTATTGCTAGAAGGGAGCTGCGTCTCTCAGAGAGGTAGACATCCCACTCAGCAAGCCTAGAGGCCTTGAAAGTTGGGGGGGGGGGGCAGGGAAGGAGATATGCCCTCCCAGTCCGTTGACAACCCCACAAAGGTTACAGGGGCACAATCTGTGTTCTTGGCTCTGAGAGGAAGGCCAGCCTTTCTTCCCTTTATTTACCCATGATACACCAGTGCCCAATGCAGGGCAAATGGTGGCATGGTGGCTGCATAGACGATGGTGTGTACCCAGCTCTCAGGGCCCTGAAGGTTGGAAGGGGGTGTTAGTTACTAAATGAATAAAAAACTTCCGGATTCCTGAGTGCCCCTGACCAGATCCACAGTGTAGGACAGCTCCTTTCATGTTTTTGTTACTTGGTTTCTGTTTTTTTGAGACAGGGTCTTATGTATCCCAGACTGGCCTCAAACTGGCTATATAGCTAAGGATGACCTTGAACTCCTGGCTTTGTTTCCTCTATTTAAGAAGTGGGGGACTGAGGCTCCAAGGGACCCAGGGATTTGCCTTTTTGTACAGAAACTCTGAGGTTCGGCACCCTGCCCCACAGGCCTGCACCTGCCCCTCACCTGGCATTGCTGGCATCCTGGCTCCTGGTTACCAAGTCTTCCTCCACTCCCTTAGCTGACATCCATGTGCCAAATCCAGAGTCATCAGCACAGCTAGCATACTGCGCTGGGGTCCTTCCTGAAGGTGGCACCACTCCTTGGCACGAGGTAGGAATGTGAGCAGTGAGACTGAGCTTTTCAAAAGGAAACCAAAGCAGAATTCAGAAGTGAGCTGGGGGTGTCGGGGTGCATGCCTGGCGTCCCAGCCCTCAGGAGACAGAGGCAGGAGGCCCTTAAGTTGGAGGCCAGCCTGGTCTATATAGGGAGTTCAAGACTGCATAGCAAGCCCTTGTCTCAAAAAGCCAAGAGTGCTGGGAATATAGTTGTGTGGTAGAGCACTGGCCTACCATGTGCAAGGTCCCAGGTTCCATCCCCAGCACTGAAAGAAAAAAATCCTGGCCAGATGGCTCAGTGGGTTAAAGGCCACATGATGGACAGAGAAAACTGATTCCTGCAAGTAAGTCAAAATTATAAAACACTATCAAGAAAAGGAAGAAGATCCAGGTCCATTTTCAGCTTCCAGCCTGGGAACTCCACTCCTATAAAAAAGCCCTTTATGCTCTGTGTGCTGAGGAGCAGGCCTGCCTCTTTTGCCCACCCAGCAAATGTGGTCTGGGGAGGGATGTGACCTTTAAACCTCCCTGGAGACCCCAGTTGTACACAGGAGATGACTCAGTGACCTTCCCAGAATCGGTGATCCTGAAGATTCCGACCCTATGCCTGAAACCCACCAGTGTGCAGTCATTTGAGAGTGGACTTGAGATGTAAAGGCACCTCCCAGAAGGAAGCCAGTGACCTTCCAGAATGGGCCTGGGGCAGATGAAAAGGGAGATTAGGAGGACTCTTCTGTGAGATGGTTGTACAGGGCTGAACATCGGCTCGGGGAGCATTCCCAGGGTAGCCAGGCCTTCAAACGGTCAGTCCAAAAAACCTCACAGGTGCCGGTGTTTGCCAACGTGTGGCACGGGAGGAAGGACAGGAAGGAGAGAGAAGAGGAAGTGAGTAGGGGAGAGGGAAGGAAAGATGGGGGAAGGGAAAGTGGGGAGAGAGGGAAAGAGCGAGGATAGAGGAAGAGGGAGAGAGGACCCAAGGAAGGGGCAGGCTAAGTGCAGATCAAATTCAGCTCACAGGCTGCCTCTGGAGACCTTCCCTGCTCTCTGTACAAATGGAAAACACCCAGCACAGGGCAGGAAACTTCTGGAAACACAAGCCACATTCCTCTCTTGTCAATAATGAAATGAGAGCTTAGAATCCAAAATAAGGCTGAATTTCAAGGTTAAAAAATTGTTATGTATGGGCTGCAACAGCTGCCTTGCAATCTCAGGCAGTTTGAGCCTGGCTCTCCGCAAGGGTCCTGCTGTTCCCGTTACAGAGGAGGAAACTGAGGCATGGAGTGGTGAGGCTATTGGTTCAGGGAGGCTGCTGGCCAGGATCTATGCTATCCTCCATGTAGCTTTCAGAGCTGGGACCCACCGCACCCCACTCATCACCAAATAAGCAGATCACCACACCTTCTTTGTATCATAAACTGACTTTTAATAATAAAAAAATCTATCACGAATTTAACGAGAAGGATCTGTACATTTTAAAATAAACCAGCTATGACGCCCTGGCCCTTGGGGCTGTTCCCTGTTCCCCTCAGCAGGGCTAACATGGGGCCTTGGTTTTCTATATAGAAACAAGACACAGCAACAAAGCTAGCTCTGTGGTAAGAGGAAGGTGGACCCTGGGGACTGAGAGGACCCACCCCCAACCTCACAGCCAGCCAGGGTGACAAGTAGTCCCCCTTCCTCCTATGTGGTGACATTTCCCTGCAGATGTTCAGAAGCTGGGGGACAGTCAAGGGGTCCCCATGTGCAGTGCCCCCGACCTGTCCTGAAAGTAGGTGTGGGGGCGCCTGCCTCTGGCTCTCTGAGAAGTCCTAAATGCCCTGCAAACATTAACACAGCCCAGCCCTAAGTCACAACTCGGCCTGGCCATCTCTCAAACCCTGGGCCAGTCATTCCGATAGCAAAGTCCATGTGGGCCAGACTTTGGGGCACTGAGGCAGGGGAAGGAACCAGTGGACCTGTGAGCCACCTCATGACTCTAATATTAGGAAATAACAATGTCATAAACTGTTTCAATAATTTAGTTGTTTTTCTTTTGTTTTTAGTAGAACTGGATAAAGTTGTCAATAATATCTTATGTTGGTCCCATTAGGCAATATACTTTTCTCTGAAATTTAAAATGTCAAATACATACTTATAAAAGCTTAGGAGGAAAAAAAAAAAACTTGACAACACCAATAAGAAAAAAAAAAAACCCAAAATACAAACCACAGAGATGTCACACCATATAAGTTAACGTCTGAGCCCATCTGGTGCCCAGAGCTGGTAGCTTCAAGTTCTGAAGGTTGCATGTAGACCATGTTGGAAGTTGGCGAGGTTCTTGTGTGTCCTCAAGGTGACAGTTGCTAAGCCCTGTGTCCTCTCTTGGCAGGGGCCAGGCTGTCCCAAGTCTGCTGAGCGGTTAGTACAGGATGAGGGGTGCGTCTGGAAGCTTCAAGCAGGAGAGGACATAAGCAGATCTCCTGGAATGTGGCCCTGGGGAGGACCCAGGTTCAAAGTGCAGTCATCCAAGGGTCTGAGGGCCTCCAGCTACAGGACCCTGTGGCCTTTCCCAATGTAAGGGACTTCGGTAGGTACAGGAGTCCAGGTCATGGCTGCCCCCAGCAGCCCTCCCATTTCAGGAAGAAATGTGGTGAATGTGCCGGCCCAGAAGAATTAGAAGCAATCCCGTGGAGCCTTGGTGAGTGTGGGCACAGGCTGTCCTGGATGGTGGTGGCAGGGGAGGCTGGGCAGACACAGCTGGGGCAGACGCATCGGGCCACCTTGCGACCCTTCTATGCTTTCCCACGTTGCAGCTGTTGAGGCAGGTGGTCAAACATGGGCATGTCGGTGTTCAGAGGTCTCCATCCACTGGAGGCTGGCAGAGGCGATAGAGGCTGGTGGGTGGGGACAGAGAACATGAGGAGGGGCCTGGGTGACCACCACATATGGCTATTCTCTTTTGACTTGGGCAAGTAATGCACACCCAGAAAAAGATGTGGGGTGATGAGCTCTGATGTGTCCCGTGCCACCCTGTCCCACCCTTGGGCAGTTTCTAGAGGCTGGCAGGGTGTGTACAAATTACATGTATATCCTGGTGTGGTGGCATACTCCTTTAATCCCAGCACTCACGGGGCAGAGACAGGTGGATCTGTGAGTTTAAGGTCAGCCTGGTCTACATAGTAAGTTCTAGGCTAGCCAGGGCTACATAAAACAAAAACAAAAACAAAACCCAGCATGTGTATTTAGGTAGACACAGGGTTCAGACACTGGGCAATAGCCCTACATTTCTCCCCATCCATAGATTTTTGAGCCTCTCTGCTTGGAGCCCTGATGGTGCCTCATTTTTAGAAAGGGTCCTGAGGGGTGACACTGTGTATGCTGGGCATCAAGGAGAAGGACCCACAGTAGGGATGACTTTAGGGTCAGACAGAAGGCCACTGTGGTGACGGGTAAGCAAAGCTCCTCTATGACGTGTTGGTGACAGTTGAGTGCCACTGCCTGGGTGAGCACCCCAGCTCCACTACCCGTGTGACCTTGGGCAAGACACTGGGCTTCAGTGCCCCACCTGTCAATGGGCTGCTCACGGGGCTGCTGCTGGAGTCAACTGGGTTTACAGAGGTGCAGATGACACCGTGCCTGGAGCAGGGCAGGCGCCACAAGAGCACAGAGAAGATCGGGGACAACTGAAGAGCAGGAACAGATGGTGGGTGTGGCTAGTGGTACACCAAGACCCTGGTCTTGGGGACACAAGGCTTCCATGGAACACTGTGACTGGGAGAAGCTGCCTTAAGTCACCAGACTCTGTGGCAAGTTTGCAACTCCTTAGGAGTCAAGCCACTTCCAAAACAAGCTGCACTTATTGAGACTCATAGCAGCTGGTGGTAGCAGAGCGGGCAGTGGACTGAGGAGTCATGACCCCTCAAGGGGCTGGAGAAGGACTGGATACCATAGGGAGCTGACAGGGAGCTGACAGATGAAGAGGACAGGAGGGTGTGGTCACAAGACTGGCAGAGTCAGTCAGGGGAGGCGGATGGGAGTGGAGAAGGGGGAAGGGTCCCTCCCAACAACCATGCCTTAGAGACCTTGTCTGCAGTCAGAGAGCAAGCCAAGCCACGGCTATGGCATCCAAAGCAGAGTCCTGCAGGGGCGGCTCTCCCTGGGGCAAGACCAGGAATCTGATGCCAACCCAGGCCTTGGTCTCAATGGGGCTGGAAGGGGGTGGGCAGCCACTCACCGTGGTGCACCCTGGGGCATCGGGTCCTTGATTCGGAGATTTTTGGCCAGAATCTCTACTCGGGGGCCCTGGAAAGAACTGGTGTCAGACCTGGGCCCTGTCAAGCTCAGGGCACCTGGAGAAGCAGGAGCTGGGTGGGGTAACAGGCTTGAACACCTGAGACCGAGGTGTCCAGGGCTGAGGGTGCCCAGCCAAAATGAGACACCTCCCACAGGGCTGAGCTCAGGGTCCCTGGCCGTGATGCTCATGGCGTGATGGCCTCACCTGCTTGCGCATGATGTCCGTGGCCTGCATGACACACTTGGGCAGCAACCCATGGCTCCGTGCTAGGATGGCTGCCTGCTCCAGGGACACACTCAGGGTGCTCCTGTCATGGATGAGGGCACAGCTGAGATGGAGCCACATTCTGCCCACTACCGCCTCACCTCCTCCCTCTCTCCAGGTATCCACTATCTCAGGGGGTGCCTGGACCCTCCACTTAATCCTCCTGACAGCCCTCACCCCCCCCCCAGCCCCTCAATGTGTGCTTCTCACATCCCACAGGCTGTGGGAAAGCTCTTAAAAGGCTGTCTTGGGGATCAGAGAGGGACACAGAAAGTGTGCCCCACATCTACTCCCGAGTCTAAGACTGGGCGGGCAGCCAGACCCCTCTAATTCTTATTTTAGTTACCTTGTAAGCTGTAGCTGTTTCCCTGACTGTAACACTGGGCTCCACTGATGCCATGTGCCTCCCCTGCGCTATGGGACGCTCAGCAGCTTCCCTAGCCTCCATCTGCTATTCACCAACTCTGCTTCCCACTCTGTACCAGATACCGCAGGATGTCCCTGGAGAGCAAAGCTGCCCCAGCTAAGCAGGCCCAGAACAGTTCCTCACTGGCTCGCTACTTATGAGGAGGCAGCAGTTCCCCTGCACGGACCCTGGCAAAGCGACCCATTCAGTGTGCACCCGCCTGCTGGTCCGATTATCCATGTGTATCGGGTATCTGCCACATGCAGGACACCATCCTAGGTCCCTGCCCTCACAGAGCTGCCCCGTGCTGAGGTGGCAGAGGACACACAGACACTTAATGAGGTTCTGAGTGTGGGTGACGAGGGCTTGAGGGGGCAGTACTCAGGGAGGGCAGGCCCTGGGAAGGAACATCTTTCTCTCTGGGGCAAGCATCCAGGGCAATGGGCAGAAGGCAGGACAAAGGCCAGGGAGGCAGGAGGCCAGTTCTGCCAGGGAAGGTGAGCTAAGACTAACATTTGTACTGGGTGAAGCCAGGGCAGAGCCACCCAACCTGACTCTCGCACAGGAATCTGAGTTCTGTTCAACACACAGGCCACTCAGGCTCACAGACACCAGCTGCCCCATTTCACAGGAAGACAAGCTGAGGTCAAGAACAGGGAATTTGAACCTAGCCCTCCTACATCCTTGTCTGGGCCCCCAAGACCTGCCCAGCCACCCATGTCCCATCCAGCCTTGGCTCAGGCTCACCGTTGCATGCCAGTGCCGCACATGGTGATCTGACAAGCCCCCAGGCGGTAGCAGAGCTCAGAAGAGACAGGGATGAGGCCAGCACCCAGATTCCCCGTGGTGCCAGGTTTAGGGTGCACGAGCGACTTCATGAGGCGGCAGAGCTCATCCAGGGCATTGATGGGACGTATCAGCTGTGAGGGGTGCAATAGGTGTCCAGGGGTTCAGGGGCTCCACTGGCCTTCATTATCTTATACAGCTGTCCTCCAGCTCCCCTCTCAGAGCTCAAGAACCATCGGTAGCTCCCACTGCCCTATAACCTGGCATTTAGTGTTCCCTGGGTTTCAGGTCTGACCTTCCAACTTGGTTCTTCCCAGTTCTACCTAAGCCAGAACAAATACCTGTCTTATCCTCTCCAAACCCGTCAGAAGACTCCCTTCTGCCCTTAGTTTCCCCCAACAATGTGCCAGTGTGATACTGCCATAGTCTGGTACTACGTGGGAATTGACCTAACAGCTAGACCTCAGATCCTTCCATTTCTCAAGAGCAGCTGGAAGCTTCAACTTCGTCGCTGTTGCTTTACCAGCCTCAGGGAGCCGACGAGGCAGGCATTAAATTGCCAAAAGCAGGAGCTACACTTGGTCTTAGACAAAAAGCTGAGAAGCAGATTAACCTCTCTATCTTTATGGAGAAATTTTGATTTCTAAATGTCTGGCAACAAACAAAGAAATACTGTGTGGAGCTACACCCCTCATGAGGTTCACCACTTTGACCCTCAGAAATGTCATGACAAAGAGGGGGGTCATGAAAAAGCCCCCCAAGCAAGAGAGATGCAGAATAAGTCACCTAAGGCAGAAGCAAGCCTGGGAGACCACCTAGAGGAGGGGCTAAGGGGCCTCAGAGGCTTCTGGGCCTGAATCTGGTTAGGGCTGGTGCTAGGCCTGTGCTGACCCCTGGCCCAAATGTCCCCACCCTGCCCAAGTTTCAAGGGAGTGGTGGCACACCTGGTCAATCTTCACGGCTGTGCTGTTGGTATCCGTGGGCAGGTTAGACCGTTCCAGGTAAAACGCCCTGAGAGAGACAGATGGGACTGAAGGTCTGTCCACCACACTTACATCCTCCAGCCCTGCTCTGGGTCTCGATCTCTGCAGCCACTGCCCTACACCCTCCCAAGACTCTCAGAGGGGTCACTGGGCTCCCCTGCAGGGCTCTACATGCCCACTATCACTTGCTCCTCCATTTGCCCCAGAAGCAAGAAGGAGCCTCCGGGTCTCAACACCACCTCTGCCTGACTACCCTGCCCATCAGCCCTGCACCCTCCCACTCCATCCCCATCACTGCTTTCTCTCTTCAGCATCTTGCACTTGGCACAGGGCTCTGTTTATCCATCGCCCTGTCTAAAACTTTCCATACGGGGCCAAGCAGTAAGCATTAGGCCTCAGGAACCAGTCTTCTGTCCTGTACAGTAAAAAAGTCACAAAGGATACATAAAGGAATGGCCATGGCTGTGTGCTGATAAAACTTTATTTACACACAAGGGTGGGCCAGATTTTGGCAGCCCAGCCTTGACAGAACACATGCTCATGAAGAACTGGACTGGTTTTGCTCTCTGCTGAGTCCTACATGAGCACCTAGGACAGAGTGGGGCCCAGAGTCAGTCTCTGTGAACTGGAACTGAAGAAATGAGGATGACAGCAGCAGCCAAGCAACAGGCCCAGCTGTCAGCTGTTCACTGAGTGTTCTTACAGGGCGAATGCACAGGAGCTTCACCCTCACCACGAAAACTGGGCCATTCCCGGCCTCGTTCTGCTGCAGGGATTCCAGAGGGGCCCTGGTTGGGGTGTGTGCTCAAGGCTCTGGTTTAGGAGCCTGGTATTTGAGAGTGTGGTTGTGGTAGATCAAGTGTATGGTTGAAGGTATGGTTATGGGTGTGGTCGAGGGTGGCTATAGTGGGAGTTACAGATCTTAGCAGCTTTGGTGGGGAGGGCTGTGCATCCTCCTAAAAATAAATCTGTCCCCTGCCCTGTCCCCACTTGTCTCTGTAAGTGCTGTTCCACGCAGGACCCAGTGCCAGGAGCCATGCCTCTTAACTCTAAGCCAAGGATCCCAGCCCCTACGCCAAACTCAAGAGACTAAGAGTCCTGGCTCAGCACTATCTGAGCCTTGGGTGAGCTGTGTGTGCTCTCTGGGCCTCAGTGTCCTCAGCTATAAAATGAGTTACAAGCGCTCTGTGCACACTGCTGAGAGACCATGCGGACTGAGGGCCAGACACCAGTAGGTGCTTGAGAGGGTGCTGGTCACTCTGCGGAGCGAGGGCCTGCCTGTGGCTTTGTATCTGTGCCCTCTTCCCGTGGGCTTCCTTCCATGCTGTCCCCAACACTGACAGCTACCTGAGCTTGCGGTAATACTGCTGCACCTTCTCCAGCGACTGCGAGTTGATCTCCTGCTGCAACTCCTCCACTGCCTGGCTGCCTGGGGGTGGCCCCTCCACGCCCTCCAGAGCTGTGATGGAAGGCAAAGGAGGGCAGGTGCTGGGCCCCAGGATGCTTGGGGGTCTTGCCTTCCCCCCGGGTCCCCTTGTCTGGCTGCTCACCTTTTGTGAAGAGCACTGTGTGCAGCCGGAGGCTGGCCCCACCTTCCAGGCGTGAGGGCAGCCTGGAGAAGTGGAAGCTGTCCAGGTAGAAGACCACCTTCAGCGCCTGCCGGCTACCCTCAATGTGGTAGAAGATGTTGGTGTCTGTGGAAAGGGAGGCAAGCAGTGTGGCTCACCAGCAACACCAGTGGGGAGCCCTGGCACAGCCATACCAGGGAAGTTTAGAGCCTCCTGCTCCAGAGGGTAAGCCTCGGACCTCCAGCCCTCCCACCTCATAGGGACAGCCTCAGACCTCTTGTCTTCCCAACCTTAGAATGGCACGCTGGGATTTCCATGTCTACTCACCCGAGAGACATACAGGGCCCTTCCTGACCTCCCCATCTCAGAGGATAGCCTCAGATCTCCCACTTCCTGAGGATAGCCTCAGACACTCCCACCCCACAGAGCAGCCTCTTTACCTGTTTCCACTGTCCCTGGATCCCCAATGCTTCACTCTTGGCCCTCCCAGACTGACTCTGCCCCTGGGGGAGCTGGGGTAGGGTTTTTAGCTCCCCAACCCCCGCACTCCTATGACCTCCTTCCTGCATGGCACCTCAGAGCTCCTACCTGGCATAAACTGCTCACAAATGGGGCCTGCATCTTATCAGCACCAGTAAGGAGGAGCTTATGGCAGGGCTGGCAAAGTGTGGCTTTGGAGCCTACCAAGCACAGCATTGTGCAGGCATCACTAATTGATCACTGCTTCTCCCTGAGCCCAGCTCAACCCAAAACTTAACTTTCCAGGGGGAAACAACTAAAGGGCTTTTTGCAAAGGGCAATGAAACGAGGCCAAGGAACACTGGCAGGGACAGAGTCCTCATATCCAGGAACTTTGGGTGCCCTGAAGGGCTGTGACACACAGATGTCTGGTTTCCATCCCCGAATTTCTGATGCAAGTATGGGGCTTGGCTGAGAATTAGCTTTTCCAGCAAGTTCCAGGTTTGGGTGGCTCAGAGGCTGTACTCAGACAGCACCAGACTAGAAGGAGATCCAAGTCGCAGCCCTAGATGGACAGGTCCCACAGCACAGTGAGTACAAACAGCCAGGGACGAGGCTTTGGCCCTTGGTGAAGGCAGGAACCATGCCTGGAGCCCTGCACTGTGGCCAGAACACAGAACTGCCTGATGAGTGCCACTGCCCAGACATGGACCAGAGGGCAGCCGGGCAATGAGCAGTGGGTGGTTTTGTGGGCACTTAGGTGGGAGGAAGAAAAGAAGGCGGTTCATGCCTGCAATCACTGCATTTGGGAGACTGAGCTAGGACTGCTGTGAGTTTGAAGCCAGTCTGGGTTACAGGTTAAAACTCTGTCTCAAAAACCAGAAATGAAACCCAAACAAAAAGATAACTAAAGAAGGAAGAATGGACTTAAGGGTCTTAGCTAATTATGTCCTAACCATTACAAATTTCAACAAGTCTTCAGGAGAAAGATGGGTGCCTCCAGGGCAGAACTCAGGAGAGCTGCCTGCTGTTGTCCTATGAGCTATCACAGAGTGTCAGGCTTAGGAGAAGAGAAGCCTCTTGTGATGGTTAACCTTGTTGACTAGATAGGATTTATCACCATGGAAATGAACCTCTGAGCATATCTGGGAGGGATTTTCTAGATTTGGTTAACGGGGGGGCACTCTAAATATGGGTGGCACCATTCCCTGGGTTGGGTCTAGGGTTGAATTGAAAGGAGAAATTGAGCCAAACAAAGGTGTTCATCTCCCTCTGCTTCCTGACTGGATGCAGCTGCCAGGCCTTCCCCACCATGGCGGCCTGCACCCTCAAACCACAAGTCCGAACCGACCCTTCCATCCTTACGTTGCTTTTGCCAGGTGTTCTACTGCAGCAACAAGAACAGCAACTAACGTGCCCCTCCTTTTCCACGTGCTCCCCAAAACCTGGCTCTGAGATGCATGTTGGGATGTGAAGTTTGAAGCACTGGGGACCAGGTCAGCTTGGGCTGCTGGCCTGGTGTCAGGGGAGGAACAGGGAGGCCTGACTCTCAGGGCAGGATGGGAGGGCTCACTTACTAGCCACCGAGTTCTCGTCCAGCTGCTTAAAAGAGAAGGTGACACTATCCAGTTCTGACAGGGCCACCCAGATGTCCTCCAGCATGATCTGTTCCTCCTTCTGCAGGGAGAGGGTATGGTGGGAAGGACTCACATGGCTCACTCCATGGCCCCGTCACACCAAGGGCCAGAACTCACCCCTGTTCTGATCCCTCTGTGGCCACACTGGAGCCACACCAAGCCAGTAACGTCACTATCCCAAACCCAACTGACTCCATGAATGTCTGCACTTCCTTCCTCAGTCCCTTGGGCTCTTCAGTTCCCTGACCAAACCTCACGGCTTTCCATGTCCTGGTCCCCTCACCCCACACACCAGCTATGACCAAGCCAAATGGGCCGATGGCCAGGGTATACGCCAGTCCACCTCCTTCCAACCTCCCAACCTCTTCCCAATCCTGGTTACCATCACGTCTCAGCAGGACATCCCAGAGGTTTCCCTTCTCTGTCCATTTTCCTCATCTGCCCTCCCCAGAATTACATGTGAACATTCAAAATTTCACCCAGCTTACATGACTTGCCTGCTCTGCTGTTTCTAAGTCTCTTATCCACAGCCCACCCCACCAACCTCATCTCCTGCCCCTGCCCCCCACCCTGCCTGCTCCCCTCTGGCCACATCAGCCTCTGCCCAGGGCCTCTGCATGTACTGTTCCTTCGCCCAGCAGACTCTCCTCAGACCCTTTTTATGACTGGCAGAGACTGCAGCTCAAAAGCCGCCTCCCCAGAAAGCCGGCTCTGACCAAGGAAGTCAGAGCCTTTGGGCTCTGACTCAGCCTAAAGGAAGCCCACACTACAACTTTCTGGCTTCCCGAGCTACCCCACTGCTGGGCTGCCTCCCTCCCTCCTCTCAGACCACTTCTCAGCTAGGAAGTGAGCTGTAGGCCCAGCGGCAAGCTCAGTGCTTGTGATACTGGTGAGTTAACTGGATCCAGTGTCCCGCCCAAAGAGGGTAGTGAGGGCTGGTATCTGGGTGCCTTTCTACGCCACCGTTGTGCTTTTCTAGGAGCCAGCTAAGGTGGCTCTCCTGGGGAAAAGCAGCTGTGCTCAGGGGTGGCCAGCAGAGGGCGCTGAGGCGGTGCTGCCCATGGGCCATCTGCTGTGGACTCTGAGCCATCAGATACTATAGAGACTGGTATTGGGGGCTGCTGTGGTGTGTGTGCTGAACGGCAGCCCCTGGCCTCTATACACTAGATGTCAGTAAAATTCCCTCCCCTCCCTAGGTACCTCTGCTGCCACAACCCAGATTGTACAGGACGCTGCCACATGACCCTGGGAGTAAAACTGCCCGAGGCTCAGAAGCACAGGTCTGTGCCACTTATCTTCCTTGTTTGTTTCTTTGCCTCCTTTCCGGGACACCTCTGAGCAGAGGGACTGCCATTCATCCAGGGAACCTACCTGTAACAGCAGCCACAGCAGATGCTCAGAAAACCACTCCCCTCCCCGGCTGTCCCCTCCCCGGCCACTCACCACAGAGGCTGGTGCCAGCAGGGACTGCCAGTGCAGCAGGGCACCGATGGCCGCCACCTGCTCCAGCCACTTGCGGCTGGCGTCGCGGCTGCTGTCCTCGTATTCGCCGTTGTTGTTGTAGCGGTAGCTGAGGGCTGCCTGCAGCTGCTCTGAGAAAGTGCACACAGCGGCCACCAGGGCCTGACAGAAGATGGCGTCCCGGCGCAGCTGCAGCTCCGTGTCTGCAAGAGGTGCAGGAGCCTCTGGGTAGGTGGTTCTGCTCCAGCAGCATCCCCACCCCCAGCTCCCACACCCAAGGCCCTGCACACCCACAAGGGGCAGAGTGGTCAGTGATGAATTATTTTAAAATTTGTGTGTTGGGGATGGGTATGTGTGGGTGTGAGTGTATGCCATTGTGTGTACAGTGTACAGTGCCCTTGGAGGCCAGAAGAGGGCTTCAGATCCCCTGGAGCTGCAGTTACAGGCAGTTGTGAGCTGCCTGATGTGGGTACTGGGAACTGAACCTGGGTCCTCTGCAAGAACAGCAAGTGCTCTTAACAACTGAGTCATCCCTCCAGCCCCAGTGATGAATTTTTAATGGAAAATTAGCTGCCAAAAGCAAGTTTCACAAAAATCAATTCTTCAAAAGCAAACAAATTTACCCCAAATCTTACTCTTCTACTGCCCAGGTGTCTGCTTCCTGAAGAAACTAATGTGTAGTCCTTCCTAAGGCTGTCAACTCTGCCCCATTCATCTCTCCATGGGCCACAGGACCTCTAGACTGTGGCCAGCTCAGTACCAGTGGTGCCAAGCTGCCCATTCAAGACCTGTCATTCTGAGAGTACTCTCCTCCTGCCCCGGCCCCAACCGGCACCATGGAGGAAACAGCCAATCTTCTTTTCAACTGGTGTCTGGCCAACTGTTTTTTATGACCTAGGTCCCACTGCAGCTCCCTGGACTGAAGTTTCTAGAAGGGAAGCGAAGAGGGAAGGACCACCAGGCCTCCTGCAGCCCCAACCCTCCACTCTTCTGGGGCTAGGCTCAACTGACAAAGGGCCTCCCTCACCCTCGGTCCTCTGCCCAGTATCCAGTCAACCTCCACTGGGCCTAGCTGGTGGCACTGGACAGGGTTCCTGGCTCCAGGGCCTAACTGGTCCCTTGACCCAAGAGGAAGAGGCAAAGTTCACGCAGCTCTTGGTGAGGCCAAGGGAAAATGCTGCCTCCTCAGCACAGGCACTGAGGGCCCTGGTGAGCCACTTGGCTGGCAGAAGGGTCTTCCCCAGGCCATGGCTACAGCACCCACTGGGACTCCCAGGGGCCCCTTCAGAATGCTGTCCTCACCTGTGCACTTCAGCAGGGCCAGGAGCAGCTGGTTCTTCCCATCTGGAAAGTGGGAGGAGAGAGGAGGTGACTGAGCATGGCCGGCAGAGGGGATGGCAAACCAGTGCCCACCACAGCACAAGCATTCTGGCACCTCTGGTGCTGGAACTATGCTTATGAGTTTCAATGCTTGCTGGGTAAGTTCCAGGGCCCGGACATAGGAGATGGACCCCCCTGCCAGCCTTCTCTGTTCTGTGTCCCTACCACAGATACTAAAGCCAACAACCTTTTCTCTCGAGCCAAAGCCTCCAATCTACACTCTGTTCACACACTAAGCACGCATGCACACGCACACACATGCACACACGTGAATCCTCACAGACACCCACATGCATAGAGCCATGTACTCATATGCACATATCCCAGGCACAGCCCCATACTATGTGGAAAAGGCTCACTTCTGACTCAGGGAGGTCAAACATCAGCCAGTTTCGTTCACAGCAATGCCCTTAGGTCCAAAAAAGCCTCCAAGAAAAATCTGAATGGACCCTAGACTTGGCCACCTGGATGCACTTCCCTAGTGGGGCACAGGGGAGGCGCTTGGTGGGCATGATGACAGCATGAGCAGGCACACACTACTGGCTAAGGACAAAGCTGTGCCAGGCAGTGTCCCTGATGCTTGGTGTGTACTGACTCATCTGTCCTCACAGCAATACATGGTAGTGCCTGTAGCACACGCCAAGAAACAAAGGCCCAGAGAAGTCAAAGAAGGTGAAGAGGTCAAACAGCCAAAGGATTTTGCCCCAGCAGTCAGATCCATTTGGGAAACCAAGATGGCACTTGGGATCAGTGCAGACTTCTTTGATGGAAACACCTTTGTACCTCCTGCTCTCCTGCTCCACTGGCCCCTGGCCTGGGACCTTCTAGTTCTGGAGTCCCTAACTCAGGTGCCAAATGGGATGTATGGGGCACACACCAGGCTACATGAGGACCCAGGGCTGTGGTAAACTAGAAAGGTCCTTGCCATGTTACCAGAGTGAGTGCCATATGTCTTCACCCAAGCGTGGCCCTAGGTTGGCTGCCTGGCACTGCCCAGTCAGCTGGCTGCTCAGACAGTAGGAGACATGCTTTCCTGTATGGATGATACTGCAGGCAACAGTTCACACAGTCAGGCTGGCTGGTGAGCTCCAGCCTGCCGCCTCAATAACAAACAGAATCCAGTTTGGGTTGCTGAGAAGAAATGAGTCTAGCAGGCCAGCCTCCTGACTTCAGATAGCCTCAGTAGAAATGGTCCCTCGTTCATAAGTCCTTGGACAACACAGATTGTCCCCAGGGTCCCAGTTAGGACAGGATGTTCATTAGGAAATGGCAGTTCCATCCCTCCCTGGGCTTGGAGAAGGGGGATTGGCCCATTAAAAACATTATCATGGTCCACACTTGGCGCCAAAGGCCACCGGCACATGTGACACCCCACCCCCCTCGCTGACCTTCCACGTATCTCTGGATGTTGTCCACCAGGGTCCTGATGGAGCTGGGCAGGTTCCAGGGGTCCTCCTGGATGCTGATCTGGATCAAGCTTCGCCCTCGGACTGTACACTCTTCTTTCTGCTTGAACTCTGGGGACAGGAAAGTGGCATAAGAGCCAGGGGAGGGGTGGAGGTAGCTTTGGAGGGTGGTGGCACAAAGGCTCACTACCCTGCATCAAGGAAGCTGGCAGGACTCATAGGTATTATGTAGTCTGTGGAAGGCAAAAACTGTGGTAAGCTTCATAGTACTGCACCACAGCAGACATTTCTAATCAATCTCAGCACTCTCCTCCTAATCTGATGACCTGTCTCTCACAGCTATAGCCAATCCAGTACAGACATCACAAATCAATCACATTGGTTCTCCTAAAGTTGGAAGCTGTAGCCACAGATAGCTTCTCACAGATTGCTTCCTCCTTGTAGGCATAACAATTGAGCTGGCTCATAAGTGGACTACCCAGTAGCCTTTTACTACACAGAGGAAGAAGCCCAGACACAAAGTGGGAAAGTCAGGGAGTAAAGCGACTGGACTTGAATCTGGCCCCAGCAGGACAATTCGAAGGCCAGGCAGACACAGGCTCTAGTCCTTTGTGCCCTCAAGTTCCTGAGATAGCTGTAGTCGGTCCCTCCCAGCTGACTCTGACATAAGAGGGCCATCCCTGGGAAGTTGTTCCTGAGACACAGGAGGAGCAGCTCCAAGGGTGCCCCGACTCTTGCCACTTCCCACCCTACTACAGCTGCCTACCGGTCTGAATCCTCTCTCCTACACAGTGTCCCCCAGGGTCGAGGGCGGTGCTGACTCTCTCAGGGGCAGTTTCCAGAGCAGGCCTGGCACAAGCTGGGTCTAAAGATCTGTTACTACTGCCTAGATGCAAGAATGGACAGATGGATGGGTGAGTGGAGGATGATGAGTAGGAGTAGATGGGTAGAAGGATGGATGGATGGATGGATGGATGGATGGATGGATGGATGGATGAGTGGGAGGAGGGATGGGGAGGAGGATGGCTGGGGAGGAGGATGGCTGGGTAGGAGGATGGCTGGGTAGGAGGATGGATGGGTGGGTAGGAGGATGGATGGCTGGGTAGGAGGATGGATGGGTGGGTAGGAGGATGGATGAGTGGGAGGATGGCTGGGTAGGGAGATGGATGGCTGGGTAGGAGGATGGATGGGTGGGTGGGTAGAAGGATGGGTGTGAGGATGGATGACTAGATAGATATAGTCAGATGAGTGAGTGGGTAGGTGAGTAGGTGGAAGTGGGTAGATAGGTGCAGGGTGGGTGAGTAGGAGGATGTGGGTGTGGACAGGTGGGTAGATGGGTAGGTGGGTGTAGGTAGATGGATACAGAGTAGATAGGTAGGTAGGGAAATGGTTACATGGATGAACAGGTAAGTGGGAACACTTGGGAACTCAGCTTTTTCTCTCTGCCCCTTCTGGAAGGGCTTGGTTTGAGGCCACTTCTTCCATTCATGAATCCCTCTTTGGAGTAAGAACAAAGCTCTGGACAGGCACCAGGACCAATGGGCACGGATGGCATTTTTGGTATTATTTCTCTCAGATTTGTCTCTGTGGTATGATATATA